CATTGCGATTTTCATTTCGCATTGCGATTCTCTCGTTGCGATTTTCATTTCCGCATTGCGATTTTCATGTTGGGATTTTCATTTCGCGTTGCGATTGTATTTTCCGTGTTGCGATAGTCAAATGCATGCCTAATAGTGATAACAACTGAATAACAAGAGTTGGTTAAGTCAAAATGGTTGGCCTGAGTCATTAATTCAACTGAAAATGTTAAAAGTTCACACATAAAATCCACATAATACAACGTTTGCATATGAGCTTTTGATGGCAACGTTTACATAATACACATAAAATGTTAAATGTTAAAACGTTTACATAATACAACTGAATAACAACGTTTACATAATACAAAGTTCACACCATATGAGCTTTGGATTTTGATGAGGATCCATATTTTGGTAGAGGAAAAGATGATTTTGATGGCACTGGTGATCCACATGTCAACCTTGTATGACCACTTTCCTTGCACCGACTACATGTCGATCTCTTCTTCTCTTCACCCTTAGACGGTATACGATCGTGACTTTTTGGTCGGCCAGGTAGCCTTCTGTCCATGGCTGGTGGCAAAACTGTTTGTAAGTCATCTGGTATGTCCCACTCAGAAGGATGTGGAATAGGGTAGACAATCTCGGCATAAGTCTGTCGATAAACTTCTGTAGTGTAGCAATCCATAGCGTATGCGCTTGAATCATCTTGGTTTAAATGAAGAGCAACTTTTATAACATGGCCACACGGATAACCAGATGTTTGCCATTTCATACAACTACACGTCTTTGCATTTAGATCGACTAGCCCATTTAAGTTATTATCCAGTACTTGAAACAAAGTGTTTGAACATGGTTCAACTCTCCATGACGTTGACTTCACAACACGTTTCGTTATCTTTTTTCAGTCCATGGTGTAACACGATGTTCCAATGTTCCTGTAAATTTAAATAAACAATACTTAGTAAAATATAAAATATGATAAGTTACGAATTCAAAGAAATAATACCTGCATGGTTTCTTTTCTTGTAGTACCACTGTTGAATAGAGGCTCGAAAAAACTCCATTAACATAGTAATGGGTAATTTCGGGAATGACGACTTAGAGCGTTGATTGATTCTGCACTATTAGACGTCATGAAACCATATCTTGCTCCAAGTTGATGTACTCTTGACCATCTTTCAAACCCGACATCTTCTAGTGTTTGAGCACACTGAGGCAAAACACGTCTTAAACAATTTATATGCTTATTGAAATCCACTTCCCGATAAGCTTTTACAGCCTTCCAGTATGTCCATTTGTGCTTTTTTATACCAGCAGACCTTGATTTTAGATTTCTATACAAATGAACACCACAAAGTCCATGAAAAGCATCTGGGAAACACCTTCTAACAGCGTTGTCAATTGAGTTTGCCCTATCGGATATGATTGTCAGATTGCTAATAGGACCTATGCAATCCCTAAGATGCCCCATAAACCATGTCCATGAATCAGAGGTTTCAGATTTGCCAACCCCGTAAGCTATTGGCAATATCCCATTGTTAGCATCCATGGCTACTGCTAATAAGTTTACTCCAAGGTATCGACCTTTCAAATGTGCTCCGTCAACTATAAAACTGGGCGCATGCAAGTAATAAACGAACGAATCTACAAAATAATATACACAAGAAATATAATCATTTAAATGTTAAATGCATGTAACTAACAAAAATGAGTCAACAAAATTATATTGATTTACTAACCGTAGCACCAATGGCGATAAACAGCAACTCAAAGCGTCCATCTCTATCTGTTTTGATATGAGTTACCGACCCAGGATTTTTCAGCTTTAAATTGTGACAATAAGCCGGCAGTTGGGCAAACGATGCTTCTGGCGACCCCCTCAACAATTCCAAGGCATAACATTTGGCTCTCCAAGCTTGAGAATATGATATACTAATCTTGAACCGAGCATTCATGTCAGTCATAATTTCATGTCCCCGATATACCCTGCCATTCAAAAACATTAACTCAGCCAGAAAACCACCCAACACCTTTTTGTTTGCCTGTCTATGGTGAGGAAAAACTTGGGTTCTTGAACATGTATGTTTATCAATAAAAGTCCTAACTTGAAACATTTTGCAATCTTTTATTCTCTTTGCAATCATACGCCACGTACAGTTTTGTCAATCATACACCTTGTTTCGAAACGATCTTTGCTTGATTGTTAACTTTTAGTTGATAGCCATCTTCCACACATTTCGTATATAAAGCTATCTTCAAGTCTTCCTTTGTATCAAAACAATCATCTTTCTTGATACGAATAACTTTTGTGTAACAATCAACTGCTTTCTTTATCAACTCTTCTTCCGGTATCTGAAGTAATTCTGGCATATTCCAGTTATACGCCCGTGGCATTTTCTTTTCTTCGGGGACTTTTTCTTCTTCTTTTTCTTCTTCAGGATTATATGAATTACAGAATGGATGTTCAACATGTTCATTCACAGTCGTAACTTCCTCCTCATTATCATCAACATTACATTCTTCGGCAACGGCTGTTTCATCATCAAAATTCGGGTATTGACCAATATCAATATCATTACACGCATGGTCTGTTTCTTCTTCTGAAACATCATCAAAATCCGTGTATTGACCAATATCAAAGTCCGGATATTGACCAAGACCAAATTTCGAATACTGACTAGTACTCACAATTTTTTCTGTTGGCTCATCATCGTCTAACTGGTCAATACGAAAACCAGAATTTGGTGCTGAAAGTTGATTGGGATTTGGATTAGAGAAAGGTTGTGGGTTTTGAGAAAAACTTAGTTGATTACTACCCGCTACTGACCCAACAATACTACTTCTAGGTTCAACAACATACAATGTAACATCATCTTGTGAAACACTAATGTAAGCAATGAATCGTTCAACATCTTCATTGTCGGTTAACAAATAAACTTTACCATTTCTCTGATAAGATAGCCTAAATCCACTTAGGGGCTCTAAATTCAATTTATTTGAAACACGTAGCATTAGAGTTTCATAAGTTAACTTTTGTAAAGACAATTTTAGTTGAAGATTATGGGTAAAGGCATATATTGTAAAACACCATTAACATTATCCCATGACCCTCCAAAACACAAATCTATCCAAACATGATCAACATTAGATGATTTCATGGTTGTAACTAAACAAACGAGATGCGAAACTAAGACCTGTTGCCGGATGGGGAAGGATGTCGTTGGATATAGGAACGGATGTCGCCGGAGAGAGTGATAGATGGAGATGGAATGAGTTGCGATTTAGGGATTTAGTTTATGATTTCAGTGTTATATACCCAAAATTTCAGTGTTGTGATTTACAGATTCTCGTTGCGATTTACGGATTATCGTTGCGATTTACAGATTCTCGTTGCGATTTACGGATTATCGTTGCGATTTACGGATACGCGTTGCGATTTACGGATTATCGTTGCGATTTACGGATACGCGTTGCGATTTACGGATACGCATTGCGATTTACGGATACGCGTTGCGATTTACGGATACACGTTGCGGTTTACGGATACGCGTTGCGATTTACGGATACGCGTTGCGATATACGGATACGCATTGCGATTTACCCATACGCGTTGCGATTTACGGATACACGTTGCGATTTACGGATACGCGTTGCGATTTATGTGTTCGCGTTGCGATTTTCATATTCGCGTTGCGATTATGGAAAATCGCAATGCGAATTTGTACTATCGCATCGCGATTTTCAAGAATCGCGTTGCGATTCTGGAAACTGATTTGCGATTCTGGGGATCGCGTTGCGATTTTTATTTCGCGTTGCGATTTTGTTGGTCATTTTGGCAAATCCAAAAAAAGTTGGTTAAAATCGTATATTATAACTTTTTTTTGGTCACTGAGGCGATTTTCTCTTTTAGAAATACTCATCACCGACCCTCCAATGCCTGCGTTTGCTCAATTTTTCATGTGTTCTCCCAATTGGTTCCACTTGTTTTTTTTTCATCACACAACAAGCAATAAATAAATATAAATTATAAATGCAACAATGACCCATACAATACTTTAATATTTATATTTTGGCCATTAATTATAATAATTTGATATTTTTTTTTAAAAAAATGATTAAAATTGTCATTTAACATAATTTATTAACTTTTGATGTGCTTTACATTCTAAATTTATATTTCAATATCATATTTGAATAAAATACTTAAAGTTTTAATATAATACTAAACTAATAAATTCTTAGGTAAAGTATGTACACAAATAGTCCCCCAATCATAGGGTGTTATTCTATTAAGTCTCTCGACTATTAAAAGTTATGAAATAGTCATTCGATTATAGAGTGTTGCTTTGTTAAGTTCTTCGACTATTAAAAGTTGCAAAATGCTCATCCGACAATTCATCATGTTTTAAACTCGTCCCTTTCCGTTAAAAGATTGACAATTTTTTAAACTGAACGTTAACATGATAACTAATATATGGTAGTAGTTTGAGGTTTTGAGATCAAGTTTTATCACATCACGATTATCATATTAACGTTCAACTGAGAATACCGTCATTTTTTGTAATTTTTGAGTGATCATTTTATAACTTTTAATAATCAATGGACTTAACAAAATGATATTATATAGTCAGAGATAATTTTGTAACTTTTAATGGTCCATAAATTTAATAAAAATATTATCCTATAGTCGAGATCATTTGTTTAGTTTACGCTAAATTCTTATACAAATCATTTTCACACCTTAATAAATTTTTATAAATATAAATTTTTATAAAATATTTTTATTTAAGATCATTATCACCTAATCTAATAAAAAAAAAAGGGAAATGGATATTATAGTGAATTGAAATCATGGTGTAACACAAAAAGTCCAAAAAACACAAAGGCTCCTCTGTCTTTCAAACTGCGCCCAGTTTTCTCCCTTTTCTTCTTTCCCATTCATAAGTAAGCCTGCACATGTAATTAATTTCCAAAAGATTTTGCAAACATTGAATTGGGTCTTCTCCTTCTATTTTTCATTTATTGACTTTCACTTCGAGGGAGGGAAAAAAAGAGCTGCTTTTTCCCCTCAAAAGCTTTTGAAGGAGGAGGCTTGGAAAAGAAGGGGTTGAGATGGGGTTATGTGGCAGCCGATTGGTGTCGAACCCATCACGGGGGAGACTCAACCGCCGTCCCAAACGGCGTTCCAGAATCTCTTCGTTTTTCATCTGCGGTGGCTCTTCGTCTCATGCTCCTCTTGATGTAATTTGTCATCAAAAGTTTGGTCCTTATTTTAATTTCCGTTGGCTTATTTGGTTGATGAATTATATTGGATTAATATTGATTCTGGACTTCTTAATCATAAAGTCAATGCCCATTTTTTGTCTTTTCTTAATTTTCTATGTCCAGTAAACATTTTTGCAATCTGGGTTAGGCTTAATTTATATGGAGAAAAAAATTCAAAATTAACTTCTTGCAGGTATTTCTTATAGAAAACTGTTTCTTCTTCTTCTTGGGCTTTAATTCAAGCTTGAGGTTTCATGGTAATGATTTCCCTCTCAAGTCCTCTGGCTATTAAGGTCTCTCCTTAGGGATATTATTATTTGTACATTACTGATTCTTTTGTTGCTCAATAAATAAGCCAGAGGATCATTTATTGATTTTTTTCCCTTTGATAATTTTTATTGTTATTTTGTCTGAAATTTGCTCCGTTCTGTTTAAGGACTCCAAATTTTGATGGTTGCTTCATTTTAAATAGTGCTTTAATTAATGTTGTATTGATCATTCTGAAACCTTTCTTTTATGATATTTGGAGCTGACTTTCTCCTGCAGTAGGTTTAATAATGTATTCGCCGATAGCATCATAACGGAAAATGATCTTATGGAAACATGAAGAACCTGGTTCCTTGCAGGATTTGATTTTCATGCTGTATCAGACATTAATTTTGATTAGAGAATATTTACTGGTTCTTGCATCCCCCTTGTCCCGTGAAATGTGCTCATTCAACTGTTCCCTTCGCATGTAGTCCATTAAGAAGAGAAAATAAAACCAAACTTCTGGTGCTTGCAAATTTTGAAGTCAGTGTAACGTGTCATCAAGTTATTTTTCTCTGAGTAAAAGAGAAATTTCAGATTCGTTTATATTTTCTTGGTCAGTTGAGAGTGTATAATTTATTTGAAGGGAAGAACCAAAAAAGATATGCTTTGTTCTTTTGCAGTGTATCATGTTGAATTAGCAACACAAATGCTTGGAGTCGGACATTAGTTTAGCAAGTTTTCTTGGTTAGATGTTTAGATTGTTTTTCAGATGATTTTGGTACCTTTTCTTTTTACTTAAAATAAACAATACAACTTCGAATTTTGAATATGTTCATGTTAAGTTAAAATTTGATCAAGTAGCTTAACATTTTATCTTTCCTCTCGGTTCCAAGATGTAGACAGGAGGCAGCACAGAAGCTTCTTTGTGGCAGTGGTTGAGCATTTCATAATCGTTGCTCCAAACCCGGGTCACCAAGATAGTTCTATTAAGTCTTCAGGGTACAAGAGTCTAGAGAATTCTAATTCTGTTAGCACCAGCAGATGTCTATTGGATTACATGTTCATGAACAAGTTTATGTCTTGGAAGTTATCTTGTCTTTTCTCTGTATTTAGAATGTAACTCTATTATTTTACGTGGAAGCTCTAGAATATCAAACAGGGAATGATACAATACATTGTTTTGATGTAGAGGGAAGCTTATCCAACTGGAATCCTAGTGAAGTCAGCAGAGCACTGTGACCCAGTTACCAACATCGTCCGAAGTCCATTGGAGGAATCTGCTCTGATCTGCAGTATGGGAACAAGATTTAGCAGCATAGACACTGAAACTGGACTTTCAGCTGAAAGCAATACTGCTGTCAGTGAGGATTCATCTGTTGAAGGTGATTCTAGAGATGTAGAAAAAAGTAACTGTAGGAAATGCTTGACTGAAAATACAGAGTTAGTTGCTCCTCAGGTAAGTGCTGACTATAGTCGTGGTGAATCTCGTAGGGATAGCAGTACCTCAGCTTACACTCCCTTATTAGAACAACAGTCTTCGAACACTGGCTCACTAAACCTTTCTGCTAATGAGGATGCAGTCAGATCTGATGCAAACAATGCTGCATATCAGATGTGTCCTGAGTCGGGTATTTTATCTCCTCAAGGGCTTGAAGACTCACATTCACGTAGGATATGTGTTGAGAATCAGTTGGGTGAAGTAACAACAGTCGATGACTCTGGTTCTGCTCCTGCTTCTGCTCCTCATGCCTCAGAACCGGAGACTTCTCACTTATTAGGCCGTGAATCCATTTTAGAGGCAATGCCTTCAGGTTTAGGATTTATCGTCTCCAATAGGGAAAGGGGCCAGGGAGATGGAAGTATTCTTCATGTTGATCTTGTGAGTCTCTCTTCCAATATTTTATCTGGTGGCAGTGCTGAAACTAGCAATCGTGAAGCCAGGAGGAACAATAGAAGATTGTTCTCAGATGCTTTTTCGAGACGCAGTTTTAGAAGAAATGATAATTCCCCGTCCATTTTTCTTTCAATGGATGATGATAATGATACAGGGTTTGATAACAGATGGCTCTTTGATTTCAATGGTGATTTCCTTTATGATGGAGCCCTAGGTGATTCTGGTTACCTTAGAAGTAGAACTTATAGATTGAATGAACGACGACGACGCTCGAGATTAGAGGTAACTAATTGTGAAGCACTTTGAATTTAGAAGTTTATCAAACCTGCTTTTGGTAAATAGAGATATATAGTCTCCTGTCCTTTTTTTTTTGTTAAAGCATCTTTTGAATCTGTATATGCTTCTGTGAAGGCTTTAATCATTTCACAACATTTATCAAATTCTCTTTAGCATTTGGGCATTGAAGGCAGAACACGTGTGTGCCAAAATTGGGGTGGCGGCATATAAGACAATATCTGGCCCTCTCCACTCCAATGCCATGCCTAGTTTCCTTAGGTAACTTATATGAATTATCTCCTTTGACTGTTTCAGATCTGGGAAAGGCTGCGCGGTGGAAATGATGAAAATAGTCGGCCAACTACATTCTGTCCTTCTGGAATCCACCCTGATGGCTCTTGCTCCTGTGATTCTTACTTGAGGACTGATGAGCCAAGTGCTCGTGTAAGCATATCACGAATAGTAATGCTTGCTGAGGCTCTATTTGAGGTACTTTTCCTTTAGCAACTTCAATGTTCTACCTGTCTAATGTCAAACCACATTGTTTCTGTCATTATGTCTACTGTCCTTGCTGCATGAGATGTTGATATTCTTTTGGAAATTGTAATTTGTAGGTTTTGCATCGTCAACCAGTAGCACTTTCCCTATCCATGGTATCACCGCCAGCTCCTGAATCTGTAGTTGATTCTTTCCCTCTCAGAAGTCACACAAAAGTGAATGCAGCCGAATGCAGGGATGCTGTTGAACAGTAAGTTCTTCTTAGGACTTGTAGATTGAAGGTGCATGTCAATTTGCTCCTGAAAGAGTATAGGAAAAGGAGTGGTTATATTCGGTTTTGCCTTTCTTTTAATAGTTATGTCATATGTGTCTTTGCTTATCATATGCAGAATTATTAATGTTTGCATTGCTTCTTCTGATCGTAGGTGTCATATATGCTTGGCTGAATACGAGGAAGGGGACAAAATAAGAGTTCTGCCTTGCCAGCACGAGTTTCACATGGTGTGCGTGGATAAATGGCTCAAAGAGATACACGGGTACACGTACTACTAACCCTATTCTTCCCCTACCCCGCACATTCTTTTTTTCTTTTGGGAACTTACTTCTCTCTCTCTCTTTTACTCTGGTTTACAGGGTGTGCCCGCTTTGCAGAGGCGATGTTCGTAACGGTGGGGAGTCCTCTGTGTCAAACCCTGAGATTCAGATTCCATCTCTTTGATCAAACTGTACACATGTAAATATAGTAATGAATTCTTTTACAAATATATACCATGTTGTAGCATCTTATCTCCTCATAGATGTGACCTATATGGAATTAGGAAGTGGGATATTTCTGGCCTTGCACTATATCCACAAGTTGCGCATGTTTCTGGCTATCTGTTCTATTTGATTGGTCATCGATGCTCGTTATCATATGGATGTTGGCATAATCAATCAGGATTCATGAATGCATGAAGATCTGCAGTTAGATACATAAACACTACAGATTACAAAGAACAGAGTTCTTCTATAACAGTTCATGCATTGGTGCATCTTAAAAACTTAAGAAATGGTTGCAAAATGCCCAAATAGCAAACAAGATAATACAAATAAATGGTATAACACAGCACTTGCTCGGTTGGGTTTTCACCTAATCCAGCAAAGCAGAGCCATGCCTTTGGTTCCAAAAGGCTTTCTGATCTTGGAAGAAAGCTGATTCTGGATAATTTTTGAAGCCCTTGGTAGTGCCACCACTAGTGTTATTATCAAAGAGATTCGGGTGAGAGTTCTCACTATCGTCATCAAAAGTTGTCCATCTCATTGAGTTGTTCTTGTGCTTCTGTCTGGTAACATTTCTCATGTTCTCCATCTCCCCTACATGCTCCTTGAATTCTTTCTTCACAACATCTAGTACAACTTCTCCATATCTATCACACCATGACCTTGAAAATCGAAAATCAAAAAATAAAGACACACAGATAATGGCTAACTCTTATGTAAGCTAAAGGAAATGAAGATTTTTCAGCATCCTTACTTGGGGAAGAACTTTTTGAGGTCAGTCTTGTCCACAGGAAGAGTTGTGGAAATTGCTTCAATTTGATCATTCCTAGTTGAATTGCAACAAGTGAACAACAAATTTAAGCAAATATGCAAAATAAGAGTTATCAAATTACCCCAAATGAAGGTTTGGTGGAATGAAATTGCTTACGAAAACTTAAGATTCGGGTTGGTAGTGGAGAGCTCTGCTTGAATCCTTGATAGTTCCTTCTTTATTTTGTCTCCTAAGACCTTATCAATGAAGAAATCTGATGGAGCTCCATCTGCAAGCAACTTCCTCTTAATCTGTTTCGTGTCCGGCCCCTCTCCGATCGGAGATGAAACAAGCTGGCATGATCCCATGAAAGCTTCACTATCCAATCTTTCGTTCAGAGGCAAAGGAGCAGTCTCGTCCTCCAAATCATTTATCCTCCATTTCTTTAACCCATCGAAACCCCATTGTATCTTTGCTGATTTTGATGGTTTCTCCTCTGAACCAGGGCCATTATCACCACCTCCACCACCATGTCCCTCTCTTTGCTCCCTATGAAACAGGGTTTTAAATGGCTTTCTCTTTGCCTTATCAGTTCCACTACCACTTTCCTTCATTGGTTCCATTGGGAATGTTTCTTCTTGCATTAAAATTGATTTTGTTTCACTTTCCTTACCCTTCAAATGACTATCCCAAAAAGGGTTTTCCATAGAACTCACCATAAAGGCAGATGGTTTTGAACCGCTCACATCAAATATGCTCTTCTCTGATCTGTTTTTACTTGGCTTCTGAGACGATCTCAACCCGAAAACTGAGGCTGCTCCTTTGATCTTCGATTTATTCTTGGAATGCAATACATTGCCACTGTTACCACTGCAATTCTCGTCCTTCAAGTCGATAACAGACCACTCTTCTTCTCGATCCTCTCTCGAATATTTCGGTTTCGAGACTATTACATCTCTGGACTCAATCGCAGCCCCCTGTACCGCTAACCGCTGCAACAAAGGCCTTTTCGAAGAATGGTACTCCTCCTCGGATATGCATTTCGCATAAAGTAGTTCCTAGACAACAACCCCAAATCAAATTTGAAGAACGATTCTCATCTAATCTTAAGAAAATGAAAAGATAAAACAAAGTGGCCTTTAAATAATACCTGTAAGAAGAGCAGTTTATCTCGCAATATAACAGGCTGTTCGAGTTCGGTCGGAGAAGCGATAAGGGTCTCGAGCAAATGAGTTCTAAAAGCAGTACTTCAGCTTCACCCAAAATCCCTTCTTTGTGCAGACCCATGAGGTTCAGTATCTGGTGAAACGAATCCTGCTGCCATTTTAGATTATCAGATTGAAGCTTGGAAAGCCTAAGTTCGGCAGCTGGTAACCTCTTCTTGAAAGAAAAAGGGAGGATTTGTTTGCAGAGAGAGGTGATGGAATCGTGGAGAGTGGAGTAGTATATGGGTGTAACTGTACACCATTTTGACCTTCTGGCTTGCTGGAAAGAGCTCGAAAATGGGCTTAATCTGGATTTTCGATTGATGATTTTGGTTGCCAGAGCTTTTATTTTTTTGAATGAAAATTTTTGGAAGGAGCGGGGTTGTTGTTGTTGTTTATGGGGAATTTTGAATCTTGAGGGAGAACTTTAAACGGTAACTTGAAAGTAGCCGTTGAGACTTGAAAGAGGGAAGAAATGCAACGCCAATTATTTGTTGCTGAACGCTGTCGTTTCCTACTTTTATCCTTCTTTTTTCTAATTGTAACTGGGCCTCGGCCCGATTCAACACACCAACAAAGCATTTTAAAAATCTTTTTCCAAATTATATCTTTCTTTCATCTTAATTTTTTTTATACAAATTAGTATTTGTTCTAAATTCTCTCAACACATTTGACAATAACCACTCAATCACTCTGCTTCAGCCGCTGATGCTCGAACCTATAACCTCTAAGAATGACAACGATTCATTTAACCACCGAGATATGTTAGTTTGTGCTTTATCTTAAAATTAGTTTTATATATACAATATCTCCTATAATATATATTTTTTTAATATGAATTTATTTAATTCTTTGGTTGAATTCAAAATAAAAAAAGAGAATATTTTATTGACAATGCTATGAAGATGATATATTTTTCTGATGATACAAGTGATGAAAATGTTAAAAATCATTTATGGTGCTGCAAAACTAATAAATGATCCGAGAAGTGTTGTACGAATAAATTTTAGAACGAAATTCATCTTTAAAGATGTATTTTATTTTTAAGAGAAAGATAAATAATTTCTTAATATGATCTAAAAACACTATATATATAAGTCACTAATTGATCCTAGTTTGCAACCTGATCCTATTTCACAACCTGACCTTATTTCTCAATCTGAGTCTGCTTCATTACCACCCGAGTCTGTTCCTCGTCGAACATCATCTCGTGTTTCTAAACCTTCTTGTTGGCTCAATGATTATGTTTACAGCTGCCAATCTGCTTCATCCTCGGGTCAGTATTCTATTTCCAATAATATTTCATACTCTCCTTTACCTTTTCAAACACAATCTTTTATTCTTGCTACTTCGCAATTTTTTGAACCTACTTCTTACAAAGCTGCAAGCAGTGATCCTAGGTGGGTACAAACAATGAACAAAGAAATCCAGGCTTTAGAATCAAATCACACTTGGTCGCTTGTTCCTCTGCCTCCCGGTAAAAAGGCTGTTGGTTGTAAATGGGTTTATAAGATCAAATATCAAGCCAATGGTGAGGTTGAGCGTTACAAGGCTCGTTTGGTTTCTAAAGAGTATACTCAACGGGAAGGAGTTGATTTCTTGGATACTTTCTCTCCAGTGGTTAAAATTAATGTGGTTCAGTTAATTCTTGCACTTGCTTCTATTCATGACGCGCCTTTATTACAAAAGGACGTTCACAAAGCGTTTTTGCAAGGCGACTTACAGGAAGAGGTGTATATGGCTCTTCCTCAAGGATTTAGTCGTTGGTTTATGTTGATGACTTGTTACTTACAAGCAATGATGCAGATATGATCAAGGAGCTTCAAGATGCCTTGCATAGGAATTTCAAGATGAAAGATTTGGGTTGTTTAAATTATTTTCTTGGTTTTGAGGTCTTAAGGTCTAGGGATGGCATCATATTAAATCAGCGCAAATATACGCTTGAACTCATTCAAGATACAGGTTTAGAGGGAGCTAGGTCGGTTTCCATGCCTATGGAACAGAATCAACGGTTAACCACCACATAGTTTGATCGAACCTTGGTGTCTTCCGACAATCTGCATGATGTGTTGGTGGATCGCACGGAGTATCAGTGACTGATTGAGAGGTTTTTATACCTCACTCACACAAGGCCTGATATATCATTTTCAGTACACCATCTAAGCCAGTTCATATATGAGCCTAAACAATCTCATCTTGATGCTACTCATCACGTGGTTCGGTATATTAAAGGTTGTCCTGGCTAGGGAATTTTTTTGTCAGCTGCGAGCAAATGTGAGCTTGTTGCATTTTGTGACGTTGATTGGGCCACTTGTCCTACGACGAGGAAATCCATCATCGGGTTTTTGTATTAAATTAGGGGACTCTTTGGTCTCATGGAAGTCTAATAAACAAACTACATGTTGAAAGTAAAAGAAAATTAGGCAACACATGGGCTGCTAAAGGGCGGTTGCAAATGTTCAAAATTAGGCAGCCATTTTGGTTGAATTTTGTGCATGGGAGAATTGCATTTTAGTCATTGCACTTTAGGGTATTTTCAAAGATTAGTCCTTAAGCTTCAACTATAAATACCCTTACCCATTTAGCTTCAAAATTATCCCCAAATCATTCTAGCTCTCTCTCAAGTGTTTTTGTAAACACTTGTAATTTTTTCTCCCTTTAGTAAAAGATCTGCAGCAGTCCGAAGAAGTAGGCATAATTGGTTGAACTCCGTTATCAATTTCGGGTATTATTTTTCCGCTTTTATTTCACATTCTCACTAATATGGTTATAGGGAAATTACTCGTTTATTTCCTAACAACTGGTATAAGAGCTTTTGGTTGTAAATTTTATCAATTTTTCTGTGAGGTTATTATTTACTTGAATAGTGAATTTTGTGAATAGTGAAATTTGGTCGGCGATACGAGTTTGTCGACGGAGATGTTCTAATACACGATGGTTCGCAGAAGTTGTCAGAAACGATCCAAACGAAGCCAGATTCTAGTGAGAACGATGATTGCAGATGAAGGGAATGTGAAAATTAAGAAGTTGGATGGTGCGTTCAAGATCTTCTTGGAAGTACTTAGACCAGGGGCAATGCTCGGGAGAGAGCAAGGTGATGCCCAGAGACTTTCGAAGGCCATAGCTGT